GCCCCACCTGGCCTGTAGCCTGAGTCCGAGTTGGTTCGTGTGGTTTTTACAGCCATCCCCAGCCTCACCCTTGCCTGCCTGCCTGCCTGCCTCCCCGCTGCCTTCCTCTCCCACAGTGTGAGACCCTTTCCTGGAAGGAAGAAGCCCTGACAGGTCACTTTTGGAGTTCATACTGTCTAGACTAGTCCGTCACTTCAGTCCTAAATAGACCCCTTAAACTTAGCCACTATTGGAATGGGCAGAAAACCTCCCCATTTCAGCTGCTGTTCTCAAAATGGTCAAGCTTTTCAGTGAATTCCTACTGAGCATGTATAGGAATTTCTGTTCTCAGATCTCTTAGATTCCTCATTACTTACCTCTGTTTCTTCCTACACGTATTCTGATACCATGAAAGTCTTGTGGCTGCCAATAGTTGGTCCTCAACAACTTATTTTTTGGAGTTCATGGGAAGTTCACCTAGTATAGTATAGTTTGGTGCAAAAGTAATTGCAGTTTTGCATTGTTGAAATTTGCCTTTGATATTGGAGTACACTCTTAAATAAATGAGGTTATGTTATACATCATTTTAATGTGCCTTTCTTGCTTTATGTTTGTTTGCTAATGACATTACTTGCTGTTTATATTTATTTTTGGCTATGGAAATGATGTTAGACAAAAAGCAATTTGAGCGATTTTCTTATTTGAGTTCAAAATGGGTCGTAAAGCAGCGCGTACAACTTGCAACATCAACAACGCATTTGGCCCAGGAACTGCTAACGAATGTACAGTGCAGTGATGGTTCAAGCAGTTTTGCAAAGGAGATGAGAGCCTTGAAGATGAGGAGTGTAGTGGCCAGGCATCGGAAGTTGACAATGACCAACTGAGAGCAATCATCGAAGCTGATCCTCTTACAACAACTACACGAGAAGTTGCCAAAGAACTCAATGTCGACCATTCTATGGTCATTCGGCATTTGAAGCAAATTGGAAAGGTAAAATAGCTTGATAAGTGGGTGCCTCATGAGCTGACTGCAAATCAAAAAATCGTTGTTTTGAAGTGTCATCTTCTCTTATTCTACGCAACAACGATGAACCATTTCTCAATCGGATTGTGATGTGCGATGAAAAGTGGATTTTATACGACAACTGGCAATGATCAGCTCAGTAGTTGGACCAAGAAAAGCTCCAAAGCACTTCCTAAAGCCAAACTTGCACCATAAAAAGGTCATTGTTGTTGTTTGGTGGTCTGCTCCTGGTCTGATCCACTATAGCTTTCTGAATCCCGGCGAAACCATTACATCTGAGAAGTATGCTCAACAAATCGATGAGATGCACCAAAAACTGCAATGCGTGCAGCCAGCACTGGTCAATAGAAAGGGCCCAATTCTTCTCCACGACAACGCCCGACCGCACGTCACACAACCAACGCTTCAAAAGTTGAATGAGGGGCTGGCCAAGTGGCTCAGTTGGTTGGGAACGCGAGCTCTGAGCAACAGGGTCGCCGGTTCGATTCCCACATGCGCCCACCTGCAGCTGGGGTTGAACACGGCACCTTGAGCTGAGTGGCCCAGCCCCCAATGGGCAGCTGGATGGCAACTGGACTTGGAGCTAAGCTAGCTGTGCCCTCCACAACTAAGATTGAAGGACAATAATTTGGCTGTTCACCTTCCCCAATTTCCCAACACTGTTCCCCTTCCCCAATTCCCCAATAAAATCTTTTAAAAAAAAATGTTGAACGGATTGGGCTACGAAGTTTTGTCTCATCCACCATATTCACCTGACCTCTCGCCAACCAACTACCGCTTCTTCAAGCATCTCGACACCTTTTTGCAGGGAAAACACTTCCACAACCAGCAGAATGCAGAAAATGCTTTCCAAGAATTCATCGAGTCCTAAAGCACGGATTTTTATGGTACAGGAATAAACACACTTATTTCTCGTTGGCAAAAATGTGTTGATTGTAATCATTCCTATTTTGATTGATAAAGATGTGTTTTGAGGGCCGGCTGAGTGGTGCGTTAGTTAAGAGCTGGCCTAGGATGCCAGAGGGCCCCAGTTCGGATCCCACATATGAGGGCCAGTGACATTGCCCTCTACAGCTAAGATGCTGAACAACAGCTCAACCTGGAGCTGGGCTGCCATGAGTCACCTGCGACTGCGTAGGCTGCAGCCCCTGCTGCAGTGGGTTGCTGTGGGTTACCGTGTGTAGCCAGCAGCCAGCATGAGCAGCCAGCAGCCTCCCTGAGTGGCCGTCCAGAAGCCGGCGACTGATCTGCCTCGTCCGGGAAGAGCGCAATGATAGTGCCAACATGGGCCAGTGAAGCAACGTCCTCCACAACTAGACTGAAGAACAAAAGGACAGCAACTTGTCTGTTCCCATCCCCCAATTCCCCAATAAAAATCTTTAAAAAAAAAAAAGTGTTTTGAGCCTAGTTATAATGATTTAAAATTCATGGTCTGAAACCACAATTACCTTTGCACCAATTTATTTTAGTCATGCTGCCATAAAAAAATACCAAAGAATAAGTGGCTTAAACAACAGAAATTTATGGCCGGCCGAGTGGCTCAGCTGGTTAAGAGCTCGCTTGAGAGCACCAGCTTTGAGCAGCAGGGCTGCGGTTCGGATCCCACATTGAGGGCCAGTGACACTTGCCCTCTACAGCTAAGATGATGAACAACAGCTCGACCTGGAGCTGGGCTGCTGTGAGTTGCTGGCAACGGTGTAGGCAACAGCGACAGCGGGGCTGCTGTGGGCTGCTGTGAGCTACGTGAGTGGCTGGCAGCCAGCATGAGCGGCCGGCAGCTGGTGTGAGCTGCCGGGAGCCACTGTGAGCGGCCGTCCAGAGGCCGGCGATGGATTGCCTCACCCAGGAAGAGCACAATGATAATACCAACATGGGCCAGTGAAGTGACATTCTCCACAACTAGACTGAAGAACAAAAACAGCAATTTGTCTACCTGTCTTTTCCCCTTCCCCGATTCCCCAATGCTGTTCCCCTCCCCCAATTCCCCAATAAAATCTTAAAAAAAAAACACAACAGAAATTTATTTCTCACAGTCCCAGAGTCTGGAAAGTCCAAGCTCAAGGTCCAGCAGAGTTTGGTTTCTGGTGAGGACTCCCTTCTGGTTTATAGATGGCCGCCTTCTCTCTGGGTCCTCACCTGGCCTCTCTTTCGTGTGTAATTGTAGGGACAGCAAGAGAAGGAGATCTCTCTTTTTCTTCTTCTTTGTATTTCTTCTCCCTATTGTTAGGGACCCACCCTTATGACTTCATTTAACCTTAATTACCTCCTAAAAAGTCTACCTCCAAATATGGTCACATTGGATATTACGGTTCAACATACAAATTGGGAGCGGGCAGGGAAGGGACACAATTCAGTTCATAGCACCTAGTTGTTTGTTTATTTTGAGCTTAAATGCATTTTATTTTTAGACAACCTACATGACATGATTTTTTTTAATTAGTTTCAGGTGTACAACATAGTGCAATAGTTATACTTTTTACCCCTCAAAGTAACAACCCCGCTCCCCCAATCTGCCACTCCACTTCCCCCATATCATACATATCTATTACAATTCCATTAACTCCACTCCCACATTATACTCCACATCCCATGACCATATATATATATATTCAATTATAGCTGACATACAATATTATACAACATCAGCTTCAGGTGTACAATGCAGTTATCAAGGCTCTACTCCAGCGGTTCTCAACCTTCCTCATGCCGCGACCCCTGAATACAGTTCCTCATGTTGTGGTGATCCCCAACCATAAAATTATTTTCATTGCTACTCTATAACTGTAATGAATCGTAATGTAAATATCTTTTTGTTTTCTGATGGTCTTAGGCGACCCCTGTGAAAGGGTTCTTCGACCCCCAAGAGGTCGCAACCCACAGGTTGAGAACCGCTGAGAGTCTTCTCCATCCATGAAGTGGTCTCCCTAACAAGACATGTGACCATCTGACACTCTACCAAATATTTGCAACATTATTAATTATATTCCCTGAACTGTCTTTCATATCCCTGGGGCAATATTGTAGTTACCTATTTATGCTGTCTAATCCCTTCCCATTCTCCCTCATCTCCACCCCACTCCCAACTAGCAACCGTTAGTTTTTCCTTTATGTCTCTGAGACTATTTCTGTTTACTTTGCTTGTTCACTCAGTTTTTTAGATTCCACATATAAGTGAGATCATATGGTATTTGTCTTTCTCCAACTGACTTATTTCACTTAACATAATGTTCTCTAGGTCCAGCCATATCATTGTAAATGGTACAATTTCATTCTTCTTTATAGCAGAGTAATACTCTATTGTATAAATGTACCACAGTTTCTAATTCAATCGTCTACCAATGGGCATTTCGGTTGTTTCCAAGTCTTGACTATTGTAAATAGCGCTGCGATAAACATAGCGGTGCATATATTTTTTCAAATTAGTGTCTTGGGTTTCTCTGTATACAAACCCAAGAGTGGAATTGCTGGGTCATATGGTAGTTCCATTTCCAGTTTCTTGAGATACCTCCATACTGATTTCCATAATAGCTGCACCAATCTGACATTATTTTTTTTAAATCAATACCTCTGCTCCAAATAAATCAAGGTCAAAATAAACAAAGAGCTCAAGGTAACATCTATCCCATCTGTCCTAGCTCTGTTGTGTAGATAAAAAGCAGCAGCCAGTTATGATGACAGGTGATGGATCCAAACAGCCAACTGTGTTAACATTTTTCCAATTCTAAACCATCCTTAAAGAAAATTATCTACGAGGTCACACAATCCTCTCAGCAGTACAGCAGAGCAACGGTGCCATCTGGATTCAGGATTTCACCAAGAAAGAACTGGTAGTTATGAAATGAGCAAGGATGTGCTTGATTTGTTCTGCAGCCCCTGTCATAAAGATTTTACTCTTTCTGGTCTCTGTTCTTCAAGTTTCCCTTTGATTGATTTCATGTCATCTTTGATGTACTTCTTGTAGGCTTCTTTTGTGAAGCCGGTTTCCTGCAAAGGGCGGTTGGTTCATGACAATACCAACACCAGTGACTACTGTGCTTTGGTACTTTCACCCTCAGGGCCTTCAGCAGAGGTGTTCCTACCAATGAGTGAGGCAACAATGTCACCCTCTGACCTCCTGACCATCTTCCCCTCACCTTCCAGGCACAGCCTGTCCACGATCTTCTGGATCTTGCAGATGTTGGAGAACATTTCATCATGGCTGACAATGTCCCTGTAGAGGGTCATGACGGCTGGAAGGAGACCGGGATGTCTTAGCAGGAGCCAGAGCTGGGAGCAAGCGCAATCCAGCCTGAGTGGCACTAAGGGGAAGGAGGCCTGTGGACAGAAAACCCATAGCACCTAGTTTTTGGTTTTGTTTTTTAAGAAAGACAGATTGCCACAGCAGTGCCTCATTTGGATGTGTCTTGAGTCTCAGGAGCTTGACTACCCTACGTTCTCCTACAAATGGACCTTGATGTTCTAGCACAGGAAGTGCAGCTACTCCTATACCCTTGACCAAAGAACGGTTCTCTCCTCTGTCGGGGAAGGTTGTCCTTGTGAAGGGACGCACATGGAGTGGTGAGGGAGGAAGGGGTTGCCCCCCTGACCCCCAGCGAGCCAAATCAACCCTGGGATCAATGGAGTAACAGATATAGCAGCAAGGTAGCCCTCAAATCCCATAGCACCAAGTTTTGTTATAAATATTGACATTTATCAGTTGTCTTCCTATCATCCATTTCCCTGCCTCACTTCACAGAGGTCCCCAGCCCCTTTTCAACAGATCCATTTGGGGATCTGATCCATGTAGTTCCTGAGATGGTTCTATCCTAGATCTAGGTTTGGTGCTCACAACCTACACCAACCCAATCAGCACATTCTATCCTCTGAGCCCAGTGATGGGCTGAGCATGTTAACTGCAGATGCTGGGATCCTGATATTCCATATTTGCTCTTGGGCATGAATGAGAGAGCTTGTAACCCTGGGAGCCATCTGAGGACCACAAGAGGAATCAGCCTCAGATTATTCTGACACAGAGGAAAGCAGAGTGGAGAGCTGAAGAGAAACTGGACTCTTGGGGATTTCATTAAACTGTTGGATCAAGCAAGCACAACCTCTGGATTTTTCAGTTACTTGAGCCAAGATATTCCTTTTCTTGTATAAGACAGTTTGCATTGGTCTGGCAGACCTTGGTTGGCTCTCCAATATCAGTTCTCCTCTTCTTCCTTACTTACAGAACCCCCATTTTATTCATAGTTTAAAAATATTCGTCTCATGGACAGCCAGTTAGCTCAGGTGGTTAAAGCACAAGCTCATGGCGCCAGAGTTGCTGGTTTGATAACCACATGGGCCAAGGAGCTGAGCCTTCCACAGCTGGATTGAGGACAGCTACTTGACTTAGAGCTGATGGGTCCTGGAAAAACAAACACACTGTTCCCCAATAAAATTTCTCTATATATATTTTCATCTCCCAATACTCCCCTGGAGCTAAGGGTGGCAATGTAACCAATAAGATGCAAACAACAGTCAATGGTACTTCTGGAAAAATGATTGACTTCCTGATTTGAAAATAAAAGTGGGCAGACTCAACTGGCACATGCGTTCTGCCTTCTCCCACCCTCTTCTTCCTGCCTGCAAGCATACACAATATCCAGCAGAGTAACAGCCAACTTGTGATCATGAAGCCGAAAGACACACTAAGGATGGCAGAAGGGGTTGGAAGGAGCCTGATTTCTGGAACAGCTGCACCAGTTTCAGACTGCCCAGACTCCTCATGACATTAGAAAAAGTAAATCCCTTATTAGATTAACCACTTTGTTCAGTTTCTGTTCAATGTGGCCAAATCCAATCTTATCAAATAGAGAGTTCAGTACACTGAAGGATGCTGCAAGTAATATCTGAAACATGGACTTTTATGAGTGGTAGAAATGGAGTTTGGGACCATGATGGTCCAGACAGACATGGCAGACTGGAATGCCGATTACCCCGTTATACTGTGGTGAAACTTTTGGTCAATCTGCTCTTCTATGGGAGACACCCCACACGCCAATTTAGTCTGTAGTGTTAGGGAAAATAGCTTGAATAATTCAACATGTTGACACATGCTGGTGACTTCTTGCCACTTTCAACACAGTCCTGAAAGAGACCAATGAACTGGAATTATACAGGCTGAAGAAAAAAGGAAAGGAAGTACCACTTCATAAGGAAAACACTGCCTCTGACCTGCAAATCTACTTTGAATGAGTGTCTCATAATGTGGAGATTTGCAATGCTAGAAAAGATCATTGCTTCTGTTCTCCAAATAGGAGGGGTGGCTATCAAGCGGTGCCTGAGAAGGTAAGACTGGTGTCCTGGGCCTCTCCTAAGCTCCTTACTTTACAAATCACCACTCAGCACAGGAAGTGAGGCCTGGAAAGTGTTCTCTTCCCAATGGAGCTATTTCTTCCCAATTGTCTCAAGTCAGTGATCATTAAGTTGAAGGTTAGGGGGATAGAGCACAGAGGCCAAAGGTCATACAGGAGGATTTTCAGGCTTAAGGGCTACGGCTATATAGTAGCTTTGGCTGTGCTTACTCACACACAGGATTGAAGAAGGGGCAAATAGACGGGAAGCATACAACATTTTTTTAAGGAATACTGTCACCAAAAATGAAATTTGAAGAACCTGGCCATAAAAACTTATCCTCTTTTCAACCCCAGGCTCCTGAACACACACAACAGAAAGGACATTCTCCCCAAAGTTCACTTCAGATATGGTTAAAGAAGATAATGAACAAGAAGTCATCTGAAAAGAAGGTGGAACATGGACCATGGAGCACAATCGAAAAGACAGTTCCTCGCGGAGTGGGCTGGCTGAACAGGGCATGGCTGCCCCGTGGGGGAGGGATCCTGACTGCTCCTGTCTAGCAGAATCAGGCATTTACTGTGGATCTGTACCTGTGATAGCTTTGATGTGTTTCCCATTCTTCCCTTTTCCATATGGGAGTTTTATTTTGCCCGTTCTCTGCTATTGTACATGGGATATGTTGAGGGAAGATAACTTGCCTTTTAGTTAGTAGGTTAGTGAACTAGGACAACTCACCTCAGGGCTAAATTGAGAAAACCGAACATTTGCCAGAGGTTCTGCTTTTGAGATGGATGAGGTATCTGGATGAGAGTTTGGAACCGCCCCCTGTAAGAGAGGGAATAGGTTCTACATACGGCAGATGGATAGCCAAGAGGGTGGACTGTGGCAGTCACTGCTTTCTTTCTACCTAATAACCATTCTCCTTTCCTTCTTTACTAGCAGAACCTTAAATTTACTAGGGAAGCAATGTGCCCAGCTTAAAAAATGACACTAAAGTTTTCTGGCCAGTGAAACATAAGCAAAGCTGCTAAGAATATCTGGAAAAGGGCCGGCCGAGTGGCTCAGTTGGTTAAGAGCTCGCTCAAGAGTTTGAGCTCTGAGCAACAGCGGTTCGAGTCCAGCCCGAGCTGAGCA